AGGAACCTGAAACTGTTCACCTGCTCCACCTCAGCACCACTGATGTAGACAGGAGTGTGTGTCTTTATCTCCTTCTTCCTGAAATCAGCGATCAGCTCCTTAGTTTTGCTGACGTTGAGAATGACTTGAATGAAACATTACTATCCAAATCAGTCACTTTTAGACATGTAGCTTCCCTCACAGGTGACAGTGATAGCAGTGATACAGAGTACGTGACTTTCTATTTCTGGTTAAAAGCTAACTGAAAGCCATATAAATTCCGTGGTGAGGCAGTTTATTTCAGAAGCACTTTTTGTAATATTTGTTGAAATTGTCTTTACATATTCAATCAATAGATAACATACTCTGTTATAAAAAATCTAGTATCTGTGGCTGTCACAAGACTGAATATATATATATATATAATATATATATATATAGCTGTCTCTTGCTAGTTTCTCCTAAGTTGCCTATCCCAGCTTTAACCATATGACCAGTGTTTGAATAGGCCTAGTTTTGTGCATAATTGAATGTAACAGTTTGAACCAACTGAACTTACAATTGTACTGAAGACATCACAGCATTATAAACTGTGACGTGTTCAATTACTGAGTTACAGACTAATGTTCCTTTAAACAGTGGTTTGAGTGCTTGGGAAATTAACAACACATGAATGCTATGAGTCTTTAAACTGAACTTAATTATTTGAATCAACAAAGTAATTTATAATTTCCACCTCTTGGACTGGCCTGATGTTATTACTAAATGCTATGGCAGCAAAAGAAAACCCTGTTGGCACGTTGTTTTGATGGTTAGAGACACAGGAGCTTTGTTCTTTCACTCTCACTTTGGATGATCTGACCCTCTCAACGCTCCAACTGTTGTATGCCGCTCTGCACTCTGATTTTGGGATGGAGTTCTGCCTCTCTGACAGAGATACTTAAATGAAGACTGACTGTCTTACAGATTTTGCATTGATAATTATTTTGCCACACAGCTGACCTGTAAGTTTCCATTTCAGCATCCAAAGCAATTGAAAGAAACTGCTAAAAAATTGAATTCTGATAATAATGACATTTCAAAGTTGGATTTTAGAAGCCTATTTGAGCTGGCAGTTGTTTGGTAGCATTAAAGAGGTTTGGAGAAGCTCTTTCAGAAGAACATGCATGGTAGAAAGTTCAGGTCCCTGCAGGCATTTCTCCCTATTTCATCTCGTGAGATTATATGCAGTGAGTCAGCAGTTCTGATCCTGACCCCAGCTGGACTTGACTCATAAAGAACAGTAATTATATGGTTTTCCTGTCATCCTGTCTCCACAGAGAGCCATTCAGAAAATACGTCACAGGATGGGCCGAGCGAGTGTATCCAAACACACCTCCGCTAACACAGGACATCCCCGGGTGACCTTTCAGTCTTATCAAAATAAGTCAAACGATGAGTTGTTGTCACATGGGCACAGTGTAATTGCTGGATGGTATCATTGTTTCTAAAAGCTAATATAGATAGGAACATCTGATCATTTGAGGATCCTGCTGGTTTTGCCTTTTTAACACCCAATGAAAATAAATGATATTTCCTCACCGTCTTTGTAAGGAAATAAAAACTAATGATACTACAGCTACTGTGCAGCTATTTTCAAAAGAGGATAAAACTGTTTATGGACATATTTTGAAAACAGCATCTAACACAATAGCCTGTGTAGCGAAAGCTGCACCTCAGCAGAGCAGCAGCTTCAGTCGTCCATCAGTGTCTACACATGAAGCATTCATGCACACTATTGAGTGTAGGTCACCCACGTTTTGGCAGAACTCACAGCCCAACATACAATCACTGTAGTTACACGTGTAAACAGAAGAAAATAGACTTCAAACATCATAAAAGCACGTTTAGGTGTGTATATAACGTGAGTGAATGTGACACATTGTTTGGCCAGTATAGACAGCTGTATTGATTGAAATAGAAGTGTATCTGTCAGATGAGCGTAAAATGGCCAGCTTAAAGGCACTGCTGAAATGCTTCCTGTGTAGACAAGCCACAAACTTCAAGCCTCTGGGTGGCAATTATGATTTACAGACATCTGTGAGCCAGTGTTGCTAGGAGATGCGCTATCAACTTCTGTTATACAGTGTGCTACTGGAAATGTCCACACAGCGTTAGCTGTCAACAATGAGTTTACATCGTTCAACATTTGTGAGGACCCCTCATGCTTTTATGTATATTTTTAATAGTTCTTTATTATAAAAACGTTTTTTTTTAAGATTCTTCTGTGGGGAAATGCTCCTTTTCGTCCCAGCTGGCAGGAGGGGCATGTTGACGTCTGTTTTTGATTGACAGAGCAGGTGTTACACCATAGAACGAGGGACCAAGTAAACCTACTTAGACCATCATTGGCAGATGGTGTGTTGTTAGTGGTATTGAAGAATAAGGACCACATCAGCATCTAATGCCTCGTGCAGACTAAACGACTTTTAGCGTTGGCCGATGGCCGTGCCGTTCAGACAACACAACTTGTCTTGAAGTCGTTGCGTTCACACTACGAGACTGATCGTGAAAGAGGGTCACATACTACTCAAGCTGAAGAGGACTCTGTCACACGGGTCTCCAAACCACGTTTTGACAAGAAAACACACGTGAAATATGAAACGGGAAATGACGAGATCCTGCACACGGAACAGCTGTTGTTTGTTATTATAAAGATAGAAATTATAAAGACACTGGGTGAAAGAATGGATTAGCACATGCAGGTAGCAGGGATTGTAAGAGCTACAGAGAGCTGGAGGTGAGTAAAAAGGGCCTGCTCTGCCAGCTGCCTGCTCTCATTGGCTGGATGTGGATGTCAAGTCAGCCGACTCCGGCAGATATTTGGCATGCTAGACATCTTGCAGACGTCGGCAATGTGTCAGAAATGTGTGGGGGAGCCGCTTTGATGCGTCGTTGTGTAGTACACATAATGACTGGCGACCACCAAGCGGCAAAATGGGCTAAAAATCGTGTAGTGTGAACTAGACTTAAGAGATAGGCGTGTCAGTCTGTAGGGACCTCAAAACATACTCTGAGGGCTACGATCATAAAATGATGATCGATGCATCAAAATATTTTATTTCTATACATGTAACTATGCTACCATTAAAAACAGCACATTTGTGAGGCACCCTGGTGGTAGAGTGCATACGATTAAGGCTGAGTGGATGTCCACCCCTCTCTCTCTTGTCTATCTCTTCAGCTGTCTTCACCCACCCCTAAATTTGCAGGTAGTTTTACATGCTGTTTAATATACTGGGTCTGAGCAACTAAACTGACGTTAGCAGTGCCCAGAGACTGTTTGTTTGGTGGCTCGTTCAACAAGCTACGGTGCAGGACAAGGCGTGTGTTCATGTTTGTGAGTTAATAAGGAGACGTAGCAGGAAAGCTAATGTGGTTGCTGTTTAGAGACTGTGGATTTTGTGTTGTGCAGCTGCTCGTGAAATGTCTTTCTTTCATGGGCTCGGATGTGATAATAAATGACCAGTGTCAAAACTCACTCTGCAGGTCGTCCTGTAATCTCAGCCCTCTGTGCGCTACCTGTACAGGCCAAAATCACAGATGGGGATAAGCAGTGGCTAACAGCATTGAACTGTACGGCCATTAGAATTTAAAGGGAGAGTAAGTGATTACGCAGAAGGATTCTTGATATTTGAACTCAAATGCCAAACAAATATACCCCTCCCTTTGATATAAAAGAATTGGATGTAGCCATCGTGACGTCACCCGTTGGTTTTGTAGCCGATTTGAATCCTCGAGTTTGGCAATATAGCTGGCAGTTTTTTGCAACCAGCGTCACTGGGCATGATGTGATATTTGGACTGTGGAGGTAGCTAGCTTGGTTAGCTAGGTGCATCTGTTATTCATGTTAACTGTGTCTATGTCTAACAGGCTTAAAACAAAATGTACTCACCAGAGAAAATGAACAGCCGACTCCTAATACGCTTTTTCAACACTGCTTGTTAAATTTACACAGTGCCGTGGGTACGAGTCACTCTTGCCTGATTGACCTGAGGTTTCCATGGTAGCGACTTGTCAATCACAAGATGGACCCGCCCTAAAGCCTTCTCTGCTTTATCATCTATTTTCCTCTAGATGGGACCATGATTTACTAAATGAACATCATGCTGGATTGAAGACAAGACTTGAAACTAGCTACTGAGACAGTCTAGCAGACTTCTTTTTGCAACCACTGGAGTCGCCCCCTGCTGGCTATTAGAGAGAATGCAGTTTTAAAGGGCTTCTGCATTAGCCTCACTTTTTAGACACGGAGGTTCCTGCTTGCATGTTTCTCCAGCATTGAAACGCCTTCGTCGTTGCCTGGTCATATAACTTTCTTTTCTGTTTATATTTCAGACCTTTTCCCCTTGGTCAGGCGTGCGACCTCTGACATAAACAGCAAATGTAAGTTGCTTTGGATAAAAGCGTCAGCTAAATGAATAAATGTAAAAAATGTAAGGTAATGTTGTCAGGTAGAACCAAAAATGTACACATAATGAACACTTATGTAGGGGCACTGTCTCTGCAGAAAAATGTACCAAAAAATGTTCTTCTTTTTTTGTAATGGCAATTTTGACGTACAGTACAGAAGTCAAAACAAACTACAAATATATAGTGAATATACTGGTTGAATAGCAAATATGTATTTTAATTTTATTTTGATTTTAACCCAGTTACTGGCATTTACTCTCTGTTGGTTCTAAACACGCAGCAGATCTTGAACTTACCATTTTGTTTTGCCTCATCTAGCTCCCTCTGACACTGTGGCCTTAACTTGCAGTTGCAAAATGCTATATTGCGTTACTAAACATCCTCAGAGGGTATAATTACAAGATAATTATATTGCATTACATCAAGACCAACCCAGTGTGTAATTGAAGTTGAACCAGAATACGAACAGCTAAACAAGCTTTCCAATCTTTATCACAACAGTAATCCTCTAATTCGATTTACTGTAACCTAACTCTGAAGTATTTTCTTTTCATCTGTTACAGTGGTGCATAACCTTTGCATGCCCCTCACCCCTCCACCTCTGCACATATACACACCCACTCACATACACCTATTCTGCTCTTGTGGGACCCCTGTACCGCAAATGACAAGGTTAGAGTAACAAACTTTTAGTAAAGTAAACATCCCCTCCACACAATCACTTCCTGCTCCTGTCCTATGATTAAATTAACTGGAGATTTGCCTTTGTGATTTCAGCAGTTTCCCACTGTGGGCGGCAAAAGGACGGCCTCACAGCACACTCTGTCAACTGTTTCCCTCACTCAAGAAAGCTCTGCATACTTCTGTTTTTCAAATGTACTGTATCTGGTTTTGCTTTTTGAATAAAACAAATGTGAAAAAGATCAGGAAAATAACTGAATCACGGTTCAACTAGGTCTCCTACTGTGAAGAACTACATGGAAAGGTCTGCTTATGCAATAAAGTAAGAAACTGAGCATCTGTATTGTTCATGAAAATACACTATGAAACTCTATCCTCTTTAGATACTAACCGCAACAACCAGAGCGGTGGGGTACACTACTAGATTCTCATCCAAACAAGATGTTTTTGATTGTTAGTGGGGGTGTGCATAAATATATTGTGCTGAACTGTTGTTAACTAAGGTTAACCAAGGCTGCTCTGTTTTTATTGTAAAAATTGGAATGAATCCCATTAAGTCGCATGGTCACAAACAAATCTGCTTTAAAATCCGTGCAGCATTTAACACCAACTATCCTTAGGACCTTGATTCAGATAAGGGAAAATCCCCCCCCCAAAAAAACATTTCACAGTGAGAAAAGGGAAAAACCCCAACAAGAGCAACAGGATGTAAAATACAGTGTCATGTAGAGGAGACAGACATTTACAATTCACAATTACATTACAGAAAAACTGAATGAAAATATTAGTTAAATACAGTGTAAACATACATGAAGAATATGAAACTGAGCAAACGTTGAGCAGCTTCAGGTGTTGCCAAACACTGACTGGTAGGACTGAAGCCACATGACATCCTCTCTACGAAGACTTCAGATGCACACAAAAAGGTTAAGGATACCATTCACATGGAGAGAAAAGATTCCAGTACAGTTTGCACTGACGATGTCAAGAGAAAGAAATGTGTCTTTTGGAGTCATTCTGCAAAACACATTTCTGAAGAACATGGGTGATGGTGGTGTGGATCGAGGACAACAGCTCTGTATTTCATTACGCCACGTCTGCTTTTGAGTGATCCAGTCAAATCTAAAGAATCTGATTTAAATCCCTCGTAACTAAACCCTGCCCACATGTTTGTTGTTACTCAGGAATATGTCACATTACAAATGGTAAAGGACCCTGCGACCTTAAGGATTGTGCTGCTGTCTCCGTTTGAGTCATTTGAGAACAAACTTTTTATTTGTACGGAATGGACAATAAAAAAAACTGTGAGCTTTTGAATAAAATCAGAAACAGTTAATTGTTCTTCTATTAAAAGGTGCAAGAGACAGTGACAATCGGCTGATACATTTTGTTACAATAAAGCTTCCAAAATCGTTTGCTCAGCAAAGGGTGCAGCTATGACCTATAAAGAGTGTCTGATTTCTGTTTATCACTGAATTGAGTAGTTTTTCTGTACCTTAAACATACTAAAGTAAAGTTTACAGTTCATTGTCCTATGGCTTGTGCCTCTTTCTTTCTCTCTTGTGAAGCCTGAGTGAAAGTGCAGCATGCAGAATGAATGTTGGGAGGTGCATGACCACACACAATGATACCTGTTGAAGAAGCCTGATGACGTCAAGTTTTGGTGTGAGCACCTTCGCTTCTTGGATTATTGTTTCCAGCAAAGACAAGGCATAAAGAAAAAAGAGCTGTATCAATCACATCTTATTCAGACAGCTCAGCAGACTGGATAGTAATATAATTGTTGTGTTTAGCTTCACACTCTGATTGAAGCTGGTGACGTATTTGTATAATGGGCAAGAGATATCGCATCCTCATTTTACTGTGCTGCTAAAGGAGAGGCGACCATGAGAGCTGGAAACAAATTTGCTGAGAGACGAGAGCAGGACTGTGGGAGAGAGACTCAAAAATCAAGAGTGGAAGGGTTTGACCCGCAGGAGGAACAGCAACTCAAACAGAGGAAGGGGAATACTGGAGGGGCTGAGACAGTAAGAGAAATGATGGGTGAATAGGGATGGTTAAGGAAGAAAGGTTCTGGCCTGGGAACACCAGCTTCCCTGCAGACCCCGAGTTTGGCCGCTTCGCTCGAGATGACTTCACATATCGCACCTGAATACACAGATTTACACACAAGGCTGGACGGAGCTTCTGAGCCGGAATATTCGACACACTGCCTACTGACATCACTGCAGCTGGTGTGAATTTAGCAGAACTCAGCCTAGGGCCACCTCTCAGCAACCCACCTCCACTACATACACACACAACACCTAAACACACCAACTCTAGCTCACACTCTTTTATTTTTTATTTTTTGCCTCTTTTCTTTTGAGCTGATTGGAACAGCTCCCCACAGCTTGGCATGGAGGCTGATCTTCTGTGATCTATTTAAAGTGAGAAAAAACACGGTTTCACCAGGAGATCATTCAGCCCAATAATGTCAACCACACACTTCACTGCCTGCAGGCAAAAGGCTGTGTACCGCATCTTTTTAACAACACTATCTAATTTTCAAACTAATGATGTAGGTGGATGCCACGTTTTCCTTGTTTTTAAGATATTACACTAGTAAAATGTACATTTACTTCAACCGTCTATATTTGTTAAAATCACCACTAAAAATTAAAATCCTTATAATTTGTCCCTTTGTGTTGTACAGCATCCTGTTCTTATCACTACTTGGACATGTAATATACTGAAATCACTCTCTAAAAAGCATTGGCAGGGCACATGTGCTTAGTTTATAAACAAACTTTACTTCCCTCGCTCTGTCAGACATTTTCCACTGCAGGGATGGATGGTTATAATGAGAGTTCCAGCGTCCAGCTATTTTTAAGGTTGGAGACAGGCTGTTATTGCGTTGGAGGTAGCGAGGCCTTTGGGGTGGTGGATTAGTCTACAGACCTGCACTCCAGACTTTATGGGTCTGAAAATAACTGTCCTACCTAGCCCTCCCACTGCTCCCCCCCGGGTAATCACAAAGTGCAGCCATCCATAAATGAATGTGGTATCTGCTTAAACTGTCATCTCACCAATATTAGGTGAACCCAAGTTCAAGTATCTACGTCAAGAATTGGAAAACAGATCAGATGTCTAAAAGCATCATCCCTTTCTGAGAATCTCTAAACTGGATATGTTCATTCATGCCTCACTGAGATGCGCTCCAGACCGTTCTCATCTCAGGGCGTCCAATACCAGTGCTTTCAGAAAAAGTGACAACGTGTACTTATTTGACGCTAAAGGTACCCCTCAGCGTCTGTGTCTCTATGAGACGCTCTGCGGCGTTTCGTACTGACCGGAAGTGCTAGCTAGCTAGCTACTTTTGTGTTGACAGCCCCCTGAAGCCCCCTACCCTTACCATAACCATCAGAAATGTTTGTGCCTAAACCTGAGTCAGTGACTTCATGCATGTAGACTTGCTAACCCTACAGCTAGCAGGTATGGGTAGCCTCCTTTGTGTTGCAGTGATGTAGCAAACTGTGGTGTTTCATACAGACGCTGAAGGGTACCTTTAGCGTCAAATAATCACGCTGTCTGAAGACATCGCGTTGGCTTACAACAGAAAGAAGGTGTCAAGCGTCAGTATTTCAAGTGTGTTTCTGGACCAGGCTAAAAGTTTACCAGGAAGCTTCTTCCATATTCTTCTTCTGTCAGGAAGTTCAGTTATCTTGACTATTCACAGGAGGATAGGAGTAAAGCTGACAACATGAGCAGCTAGCTTGTACAAGGGTCTTAGTGACAGCAGTGATGGTGAAGATAGCGATAAAGGATGGACTTTTTCTTACTCCCCAGCTGCTAAATCAGAGAGGCCCTGAAAACGATGTAGGAGATGAAGGAGACACGCAAAGGCCTCTGCAACAAGACCTGCCTGCGTGCCTACCAGCAAGAAATTGGTTGGTTCTTCTTGGCTTTAAGTATCTGCCGTCCGGTTTCATGCAAACAAACATAGAGCCCTTTACTCTACAACACAAGTGCTCATCCCTGAGGGAGCGTGAGGCACATCTGCCTGTCTGTAACACCTGGTTACCATTAGAGTTTGTTTATCTTTAGTATGACAGATAAGTTATAGCATATCAGCGACAGCGGGCAATGCACGCACTCGTATAACTGAAGTGCCATCTACATAACTTTTATTTTACCTTTTTGGCTAATGTGACTGAAAAGGAGGAGACATTTTTTTCTCAATGTTGTCTTCTACTTATCTGCTGAGCTATTTTGTAACTTACTAATGCACATCTTTAATTCCACCGTAACACTGCGAAACAGCACCAGCAATGCAGAAGATGGAGTAGTTTCACACTGCAGTAGTGAGGAACACTGTCTGATCCAGTGTCCAATTTTCAGAAATATAAGACAGAAATAAACATGCATGAATGTTGGAAGGCCAACAGAGGTATAAAATCAGCAAAGTTATACCATCACAAAATAAACATAAGTAAAAGCTTAATACAAATATCTTATGGCAGAGAAGCTACTTGAAACGTATTATTTGATGTACTAAAAATCATATGACTTAATGTGCATGGCTCTCAATTGAGGCGTCAACGAAACACTGACGGTTCTATAATTCATCTAGATTTGAAAACAGCAGTCCACTAAGGCAGCTAGAGTATCGCTTCTACAGTCTCTCCAGCAGGCGCTGTCAGAATGTTCACAAAGGATGATGGGAGAACATGAAACCAGCAGGGCTCTGATCCAGTCCCTTTGAAATCTTTCCAGCTGCCTTGTTGTGCCGATGGCCATCACACAGGGTGCAACAAAGGCCTTGCTTCTGTGTGTCGTTGCAGGAAATAGCACCTGCTGTTTCTCATTTCAGATGTCATTCACTGGCTAGATTGAGAACCCACCCCATAACTTTAGCTCTTTTTGGGAATGCCTTGGGAGTGACTTGGAGTTTGACCCCAAGTCACTTTAGTTAGGTTGTTAGGTGCTACACAAGCTAACAATGGCCATACGTGGCAACTGTAAATGAGTCATCAAAAAAGATAAACTGTTCTGAAATGAATTAGACCCTTTCATCCTGTAGTTAATCAAATCAAGTCCACAGGGCCTCCTTAAGTTTGTTTAACTCATCATATAAACAACATAACGGTGCAATTACACGTCCGGCTTATTACCTTGAAAACTAATCACCAGGCTGCATTTTCTGCCATCCGTGATGGGAATGAGATTCTCCGAGTTTATATATGGAAATGGTAATTTAAACAAACAGTGATTGACCAAAGACCCTCTGCTCTTGAGATGTGTTTAGCATTTAATGTTACTTTCAGTGATATCTTCCACCTGCAAACCCAGCAT